AGATTAGTCTCCCACCCCCACACACATATTAAACTGCTGTATTCCTTCTCACATTGAAGCTGAAGTGAATACATTATTAATCACACAAATGAATATGTGATGCTGTGAGATATAATTAGGAAAATAAAGTTCATTACGGACACATTTAAGTTAAGTTTAAAGCTAAGGCCTAGCATTCCTTGGAGAAATGTAAGAGTTTTAAACAGAAATCATCATCTAAAGAGAAATGACTGAGTTGTTTTGGTCGAAACTTGAACACACCACTATGTGCAATCTTAAGCAATAGCGCAAGATCTTGGAGTAAGGGATGACTCTCAGACACTACCGTGTAAAATTTAATCTTAATATTTGTCAAATTCAATAAGACGTGCTGTTTTAGTGTTTTGAAGACAACTGGCCACCTTTTAAAAATTATTTAGTAGATGTTGGGGCTGCACGGTGGATTAGTGGTTAGCTTCCTCACAACAAGAATGTTCTGGATTCAATTCCAAAATAAGCATAGGGTCTTTGTATGGAGTCTACATGTTCTCCTCATGTTAGTGTGTTTTTCCACAAATATGGTTTCCTCCCATAGTCCAAATTCATACATGTATAGGCTGCCTCCAGGCCCTTGACCAATGGGATTTGCCTTGGTAAATAAAGATTTATAAATAAATAAATAGATGTAAAGCCAGTAATTACGTTCTGACAGTAGCATTAAAATCCATCCAGTGGTTCATGAGATACTTTTGCTAACAAACAAAGGCATTAGGCTGACATCTGGTGCCAATGCTGAAAATGTTCTGGGCACATCATATTGCCACCTATGTGTTCACAGCTGGTGTGGTGCCGGCCCAAAATGGACCACTTCGGGCAAACCATATCTGGGCCTCTGAAGGGCCATCATTCTTTGTGGTGGTGGGCTGAGAGCATTGTGTGGGCCAGAACTGGGCCAGGCCAATTTTGCTATGTGGGATGAACACTCAGAGGCAAACAGATTAACACCTATTTGTCATCTTTATACAAGGGGTGATAAAAAAATAATGACTGAAGAGAGATATTATCTTAAATTGCTGAAATGACCAAGAATGATTTTTATCTGTCCTGCAGTCACATGGTACTTTTAGGAACATTTAGTTCCTATAGCCACTGCAGGTTGTTCATCTTCTTTCACAAACCTGTTCAAGCCAAACCTGAGATGTCTTCTTGTCATCTAAAATAAATTTATTTGAATCTTAAAGCAGCACAAGGGAGTAAGAAGCACCTGCTGCCTTTATGCCTCTGAGCCACAAAGGGACAGAGCAGTAACAGTTGCTATAACAAAGGGCAAGATGGCATCTTGGTTCAAAGCTATAATGTAGTGTTGACAGACAGTCAGCGCCACCTAGGAGATGTCCAACGCACATTGTATGAGTATGTTGCCTGTCAACCCTGTGCAGTATATTACTCTCCGAGCCTCCTTTGGTTCCACAGTGTCGGCTTTGTTCATGAAAGCTCATAATGGCAAGTTGTCTGTGTATGTTTTTAAATGTATTTGATATCAAATGCCATTTTTTCCTAGTTTACGACTACATTACGCTAGTTGCACATTGGATCACACAAGTTCAACACACACTCTTACTAGTAACACTTTATTGCAAACTAGTGCCACTTTTGCCCAACTAGTTGAAGCTGAAGTTGCTCTAGTCAGTCACATTCAGCAGCAAACCACACTTATACCTGATGAAGGTCCCAGCTAATAGGATCATATCATCTGCAAACAGCTGCAATGCAATGGTGAATGGACTGTACTCATATAGCACCTTTCTATCTTATCAAGACACTAAAAATGCTTTACACTGCAACCTGTGCCCTCCTTTACCCATTCATACAGCACTCTGCTATATAAAGACTAATCAGTGCTTTAGATCACGTTCATACACCGATGGGACGCACATCGGAGGCAATGAGGGGCTTCGGTGTCTTGCCCAAGGACACTTTGGCATGAAAGTGCTGGTGGAATCAACCCCCCAACTCTTGCATTGGGAGGAAAACTGCTCTAACCACTCAGTCAGCCGCAGCCGCCCAATCTGCAATCCAAATGACCCCAAACTGGAGACCCTCTGCTGCTTGGCTTCGCCTAAAAATTTCCTTCATAAAATGTGTTTTTCTTCCTAGTTGTGGAACACTGAAGTAGCTTTTTATTATTTCAAGGACATTTGAGGGTGCGTGGGAGTTTGCCCAACCAGTTTTTATGTGTATTGTTGTAGAGAAAGTTTACAGTCATGTTATTCACTCTAATGTCCTCTGGTGGTTACTTCGAGTATAGAGTTTTAGCCCCCACTTCCTGGAGCCATCCTGCCACTTTATAATCAGTGAAATTTGTTTCACATTGATGGTAGGAGTTTAAACTTGTGTGCAGTGAGTTTAAAACTACAGCAGGGCTGCCCTTTGTCACCAAATCTGTATAAAATGTTTTTGAAGCTCAGTATTTTCGTAGTGCAAAATGTTAGGAGATGAACAAGCCCTTATAAGGACTGTTTTTGGGATGTTCCCAATTTCGTACAACGTCCGAGTCCTTATCTTGTGACGTGTAAATGCTAAACTATGCTGATCTAAATTTATGTCATGTGAGGTGTGTGAGTGATATGTATTCATTTAAAGATTGCTACACTTTTCATAAATAAAAAAAAATCACTGAAGCATGCCTGTGTGCCTTTTTATCTTCTTTGGAAACGTATAGTTTTGCTCTACAGTAAGGCTGAAGATGGAATGAGTAGGATTTCTAGTCACAAAAAGAGGAGAGTCACTTCACTACATTTGTCTGAAGGGTGGTTATTAGGTTGCGTAAAGTCTGGCATTTGGCAGGAGGAATGTGCTTCAGATTTCTTCTCTGGCAGCCAAAACACCCTCACAGAGTGGGAGTGATGGAGCACATACTCCTCTTTCTGTTGGCTTCAAGACAAGCAGGCAGAACATGGGAAAGTGCCCGGAAATTTACAAATGGAAACAAATTAAAATAAGTTATGAATGATTCTGCGCATAAATTTGCCACTTGTAAAATTTTTTTAAATAAAGTAATCTCTTCCCCCACTCCCATGCTGAAACCACACGTTTTCTGGAATCCTCCAAACATTTAATGTGCCCTGACGTTGGTGACTCCATGCACAATATGTGCAGCAGTATTGAGCTTGAAGGTCAAATTGTTCAGTGGCAAAAGCAGCAAAACAAACAAACAAACAAAAAAAACACATTAAAAGCCAACTATTTCTTGAAGGAATGCTGATTGCTTGATGCCTTTTATGCTTACGTTTTTAACTGAACGTTTTGTTGAGAAACAGTTAAGTTAGAAGTTTTGGTAAAACCTTGAAAAGAACTCTATGCTCAATTTCACAGTATGTTTCGAACAACTCTAAGCTAATACCACACCAACTTCTAGCTCAATAACTGTAAAATTTACTGGATTATAGCCATTTCTTCCCTAAAGCTCTTTTAGCTGTGGATTAAATGGATTAAGTTAATCAGTTAAAGATGTAAAGTTTGTTTTGTGATTCATGAGGGGAATCACTGTAATGTCACTTTAATTGGTGACAGAACTTCATCTGTCTGCTGATTATTCATGCTGCTGATCTCACGTTGCTGTATTCATACCCATCTGCTCACCACAGACTCATGTTCAGGCTGCTGTTTAATACACTGTATTATTTTTACATTATTAGTGTTTAGCATATATCTTAGATCCTTGTATACTGTTTCTTTTTATATTTTTGCCATTTTTGGGTGTAACCGGAACCTTGAGTACACAATTTTGTTCCACCTCGTGTACCACATGTGATGCGAATGGCAATAAAGAACCTTGAACCCCATGAATTAACTTCTGAAGTCAACCACGTTTAAGATGGCCGTCACAACTAAGCAACTTTAGTAAACACACAAATGACTATACTGGCAATGTTTCGACCAGTTTTTCAGATGATTAGTTACAGTTTGGTGTGGTAGTAGCTGAGCATTGACACCAACACATTCTTCCAGTACAACAGCTTGTCCAACATGTTTGCTTAAAACTGTGGCAATAACTGTTGGAATTTACACCGTTTGTCTGTTAGCAAAATATCTCATGACCCACTGGATAGATTTCAATGAAATTTCAAAAATTAATAATTAGAAGTACATCTATAGCTGATCAAAACTAATAATTAGAAGTACATCAACTGATTATCTTCTGAAGTCACAGGTCTCTCTTGTGAATGAGGGGCCCGAGATGGTGTAGGGGCAGGGCAGCCGACTCGGGATCCGAAGGTCCCGGGCTCAATCCGAGGTCATTGCACATCTCGTGGTGTTTCTGAGCAGGACACCCCATCCCCAGCTGCTCCCCAGGTGCCCACCATAGCCGCCCACCGCCCCACCTGGCAGTGGATGGGCTAACTGCAGAGAGCCAATTTCACCATTGTATGGGAACATACAATGATGACAACACATATCACATTATTATTCTTAAATGAGTCCTCGAGGCTCAATGAGACTAACCTGTATAAATAAAGGTTGAATGAATGAATGAATGAATGAAGCAAATCAAGATCACACCTACTGTATCTATCTTAGCCAAATGGCAACAACACACATATACATACATATAATACAGCACATTTACCATAACTCTTCCATTAAAGATGACAAGTGATATGCAATCTTTGCTGGGCCTTTTATTTTTTACTGAATTACAGTTTATTGATTTTTACTTTCATTTAATTTTCTCTTTTCAGTAGGACTTTCTGATGAATGTAAAATGGTTGGCGTATGACGATGTACATAATCTATATTGTAAAAACTGATATGATACTGGATGGTGTGTGCAAATATAAAAAAATAAGTGTAAACTCCAGATTTCAATGATGATGTAAGCTTGTTGTTGACTTTCCCAGTCTGAATGACTGAGCAAAGGGTGGGGGGCGGGGCCTCATTAATCCACAGTGAGTGGTGACTCGCCAGGCAAAACTGAGCATAGTGGGGGATGGGCGCCATGTCCCTCGCTGTTATGACTGATTCGTGGCTGCGGGACACACTTCTTGAGGCCTAGCTATTTTTTCCCCCAAGTTTTTTCCAACTCGTCGCTTGGTCTTAACAGGCAAATGCAGCTTCCTTTTGGTACAAAACAAATAGAAGGGAAGAGACGCTATCATTTAATCAACGCTGGGAAACAGTTGTCAGCCTCTGCTAAGCACGTGGGAGTGTTTGATGGCTTTTTGAAAATAGGTCAGTTACTATTATAGCATAATGTCCTTGTTGCCATTGTAGCATAGTCATACGTTCAGTAAGAATTAGCCATTACTCATGGTATCCGCCGCGCTCCATCGTGTTAAGCCGACCCAAATACGCATTATGTCTACCGTCATGAGTTATTAATCTTTGCATTAACGTTTAGCGAGTGGCGCTTTGAAATAACAGTAGTTACAAGCTGCCCATTTTTTCATGTCTGGTCACACCACTGTGTCTCTGAAGCCGTTGCTGGCTTCTAACCGCCGGGCTTTAGCTTTAATGTTTTAACCTTAAAATAGTTCATCAGTGTGCGAAAACGACTAGTCTTGCAATCGAGTAGAGCGACAACATGATCTGATTTGAACACGAGCGCGTGTGGAAGATATCATCTATTGAATGGTTTTATCCAAGTAGGTATGACATTGTAGCTACACTGTCATTAGCATAGCACGCTAGGTTTATCCAGCTAGCAAGCTAGTTAGCTTGTCGGTAAGTCCACAGTGGTAGCTAACGACCTTACGGTTGTCGACATAAATATCTTTGGAAATAAACCAAACCAACATTATTGTTTTAAATTACTACAAATATAATTATTACGGCTTTCAGGTGCTGTTAATATCGTTGCTGAGTTGGGAAGTGGCTGCACCAAAAATCGCACCCCGCCTTGCCTGAGTGGCATGTGTGGTGACGGATACAAGCACCGCCATGCCGAACAGCTTCAACGCGCATGGTAGCCGCTAGGCTAAGCTTGTCAAGCGTTCAGGAAAATAGTAATGTCAAGTTGTTTATTTCATTAGCCAGCAAGTTAAAGAGAGCAGAGCCGCACATTCCACATGTAAGAAATGAATCTGAGGAGAACCGAGGCCATTTCCATTTTGCCGGTATATCCACGCTGTGACCAGTGACAGGTGTCATCATGCCAGGACAATACTCCTGATTTACGCGATACTGAATGTAGTACTTTAAGGGTTTCTTGTCAAATATGATTATCAGAGTCAGTCTTTATGGTCACCGCTTGCCCACATAATCTGTACACTGGTGTGTGAATAAGGGTAAGGTGTGAATATATGTGGGTGGAGAGCATGCTGTCATGCCAATTTAGATCCTTAGCACAAATGTTTATAACACTTCTTGGCACTTTAAGTGTGTTTGTTTAACCCAATGAAACCAAAACAAAGATGAAATGTATTAGTTACAAATTAAAATCTGACTTGAACAGTGGAAAGTTGTAACACACACAAAAACCTGGGGTCTTTGCCCTCATTTATGTGTCAGAAATGAGATGTTGGCTAGTATTTTTGATCTAAAACTGGCGTTTACATGTTATTTACAATCTGACAGGGTTAGTCATGTTGACGTGTGTCGAGTGGATTACATAATTAATCCAGTTTGTAATACAAGAGCTTAATGAAACAAAGGTTTAAACTAATATTTTTTTCTTTTCTCAGTGTTTACAGTGTTAACAACAACAACTACTGGAATGTTAGAAGCAGATAAACACTTTTATAATTATATCCCACAACACTGCGTAAAAAAATTAAATGGGCCTAATAATTATGGTGCTCTTTTCTGTTGTGGAATTGATGGCACATTAATAAAAATTTAGCTTCAGCTTATAACTCTAGAAATGTCTAAATAATTGGGGCAACCCTTACAACAAATCATTTATTGTTTTCTTTCACCTCTTTGAAAACAGTTTAGGAAACTGATGGAAATTTATTTCAGTCAGCTTGTTCACATTGATTTTAGCATGCTTCATCGTCACCAGTGATTTATCATTCTATTGTTAATAACTACAACTAGATGGCTATACAGTTAGAAGGTATTTATTGGCATATAGTGTTGTTTTTTTCTTCTGAAAATATATATAAAGGATAATTTGGTCATTGTAAAATGGGATTCTGTAGAATACTTAACGGTATGTATAATTATCTCATTTGCTGTACATAGATTTTTGAACATTAGTTTGGTGAAAAAGAGTTTAAAGTCCAACAGGGCTGACAAGCTAATGGCTTAGCATTATCCGTAATGGTCCATAATCCATGTTGCATTATCCGTAATGCACCTAAATCCAAAGTGGACCACTGCCATCTTAAAAAAAAGTTTAAATATTAAAAAAAATATGTTTCATGCAAATGCTAATTTATAAACCTTTACATTGCTATCAGTTTTACATCGCACGGTGGGTACAAAAGATTTTGTGATTATTTGTAGGAGAAAATAATGGCAGCAGATGCTATTTCAGTACAGCCTTACATAGCCACACCTGGCAGGAAGTTCATATTTCTACCACAACAAACAATAACTTGCCCAAGCATATACTTTTACAACAGATCTGTGATGTCTTAAAACAAATTCAATCGTTAAATCTCAAAAGTTGTTCATTCAAACACAAACATTTAAACCGTTACATTGCAACAACAGTTTTGGCAGAAATCTCCCAATTCCTGCCAGAAGTGGGCTGCACTGAAAGTGCTACTGCTAACTGCTGCTACCGCTAGTTGCACTTTTGCAAAAAAAATATATATATATAAATATATGTGTGTGGGTGTGTGTGTGTAGGCTGCTCCCTTCCTTAGGGGTCACCACAGCAATTGAACTCACACAAAAGCAATTTTTTTTTTATGCTGGGGATGCCCTTCCTGAAACGACCACTGAGCCACAGCAGCCCACATGTGTGGAGCAGAGGGATAAGGGAGCAGCTAGCTGGGCCGGATAAGGTTCTTGCTCAACAATCGCAGTGGGGCAAATGAGGGTGGAGGCAGATGTGGGTGCTTCACCTTTCTCACTCACAGTCCAGCAATTCAAACCTGCGATTATACTTGCTATTTGCTTTTGCAAATAACCACAACATTTCATGGAAATTAACAGCGTTAAGAGAAACAAACAACAGCAGAAGGGTCATTTAAACATCTGTGAATCTTCTCAGATTAGATTGTGTAAAATGGTCTATCCACTTTAGTCTTAAGCTTGTATGAACTAGCTGTTAGCTTGTAATTCCTGTTGAAATGTACAAACCGGATTCCAAACAAGTTGGGACACTAAACAAATTGTGAATAAAAACTGAATGCAATGATGTGGAGGTGCCAACATCTAATATTTTATTCAGAATAGAACACAAATCACAGATCAAAAGTTTAAACTGAGAGAATGTATCATTTTAAGGGAAAAATCTGTTGTTTCCAAATTTCATGGCATCAACAAATCCCAAAAAAGTTGGGACAAGTCCATTTTTACCACTGTGTGGCATCCCCCCTTCTTCTGACAACACTCAACAGACGTCTGGGGACAGAGGAGACCAGTTTCTCAAGTTTAGAAATAGGAATGCTCTCCCATTCATGTCTAATTCAGGCCTCTAACTGTTCAATCGTCTTGGGCCTTCTTTGTCGCACCTTCCTCTATGATGCGCCAAATGTTCTCTATAGGTGAAAGATCTGGACTGCAAGCAGGCTGGCCATTTCAGTACCCTGATCCTTCTCCTACGTAGCCATGATGTTGTGATTGCTGCAGAATGTGGTCTGGCATCGTGTTGAAAAATGCAGGGTCTTCCCTGAAAGAGATGACGTCTAGATGGGAGCATATGTTGTTCTTGAACCTGAACATAGTTCTCTGCATTAATGGTGCCTTTCCAGACATGCAAGCTGCCCATGCCACAAGCGCTCATGCAACCCCATACCATCAGTGATGCAGGCTTCTGAACGGAGCGTTGATAACAACTTGGGCTATCCTTGTCCTCTCTGGTCAGGATGACATGGCGTCCCAGTGTTCCATAAAGAACTTCAAATCGTGACTCATCTGACACAGAACAGTCTTCCATTTTGCCACACTCCATTTTAAATGACCCCTGGCCCAGTGCAAACGTCTGAGCTTGTGGAGCTTGCTTAGAAACGGCTTCATCTTTGCACTGTAGAGTTTCAGCTTGCAACGGCGGATGGCACGGTGGATTGTGTTCACTGACAATGCTTTCTGGAAGTATTCCTGAGCCCATTCTGTTATTTCCTTGACAGTGGCATTCCTGTTTGAGGTGCAGTGACTTTTAAGGGCACGGAGATCACGAGCATCCAGTAGAGTTTTACGGCCTTGACCCTTACGCACAGCGATTGTTCCAGATTCTCTGAATCTTTTGATGATGTTATGCACGGTTGATGATGATAACTTAAAAGTCTTTGCTATTTTATGCTGGGTAACACCATTCTGGTATTGCTGCACTATCTTTCTGCGCAACAATGGTGGAATTGGTGATCCTCTTACCATCTTGGCTTCTGAGAGACACTGACACTCTGAGAAGCTCTTTTTATACCCAATCATGTTGTCATTTGACCTAATTAGTGTTAATTGGTCTTCCAGCTGTTCATTATATGCTCAATTTCCTTTTTCCAGCCACTTATTGCTACTTGTCCCAATGTTTTGGGATTTGTTGACACTGTGAAAATTTGAATCAACATATTTTTCCTTTAAAATGTTACATTTACTCAGATTAAACTTTTGATCTGTCATCTATGTTATATTACGAATAAAATATTGACATTTGCCATCTCCACAGCATTGCATTCAGTTTTTATTCACAATTTGTTTAGTTTCTCAACTTTTTTGGAATCCGGTTTGTAATGAGTTCTACAAGCTGAGGTTATTTAAAGAGCAACAAGTAAGATATTTGTTGCTCACAACTTTTTAAACAGAGACATACTTTAAAATCACTGGAATACATCTATTTGTGTGCACAAATCCAAGGGGCACAACACAGTTTTACCACTATTAAAAAGTACACATTTACAGTATTTCTGAATAAACCAGCTTTTTGGTGTTTTTAAATGTGTTTAAAAAATCTGCAGCACAATAATGTATGTCATGGATGCAATGCATCAAACATGAATGACAGCTCAGTCTGTTGGCACTAATTGCACTGGAAGCACTGAGGATACAGTTTATTTTTTTATTTTTATCAAGATATCAAAAATGTCCTCTGTGGTCACGTAGCTTCGAGAGAAAACATTTTATGATAGGATTATTTATTAGAAGTATGAGACATTAGATGTTCTGACAACAGCCCTTTAAGGACACACATTACTTCTTGTAATAGTAGTGGGATGAGATCCCCTTGGAATAATAGTTGTATTCTAAGCTGGATTATTAATCAGTTTTTAGTGCAATCCTAATCTGTTCTGTAATGTGATAAATTTGAAGATTTTTAAGTTTGGGATTCATTGAGTTTCTGTCTTTGTTTTCACAGGGGCCAAAGACAACAAGGCCATCATGTGCAACTAAAGACATCTTGATCACACGGGTAAAAATTATATATTTTTAATAGTTTTTGTGTCTTTCTGGTAGCACCAGCATTTTTTTGTTTGTTTAGATGACAACATCTCTGTTACCACCTGGAGAAAGAAGGGCATTTTTAGGTTTGTTTAAAGGTCTTTGTTTGACGTCAGCAGACGTCATGTGTGCCGTGGAAGGAGTCAGAGGAGACAATAGTTTGTTCCTTTGTCCTCTACATGCTGTTCGTTCAACACTTCAGTTTTTTATTGTTGCACAATGCTCCTTTTTTATTTTTGCACCATTTAAAGCTGTGGAAATTGGGGACAAAGTGATTAGAATAACTTTTATCGTTTATCAGCCATTCTCAGAATCCAGTGCAAAAATAAACACAGGAATTATCAAGATGAAATCATTGTCTATTTTATTGTTGTCAAGCATTGGATAATGGGTGGGTGTGGGGCTGGGGGATTTTGAAGGCAGTTCAATTCAGCTTATTTATACAGCACCGAGTCCCAACAGAAGTCGTCTCAGGGCACTGTATAAATACATTCACATACATTATAAAAGCCAATTAGTAAAGTTCTTTATCTAAGGAAGCAGCAGATTGCTCTGAAACTTCACTAAGTTGTGGGTGCAGGACGTTTCGTTAGGCACGGTGCTCTGTTCTGTTAACAGGGCAGGGCGCCCTCCTTGGATAATGGTAGGGGAAATATTGTAGAATGACAGGTCCAGGTGTGTTTTTTATTGGAAGAAATACAAAAACACATAAGTATAGAAATAATTACAAATTCATTCAACAAAACAGACCTCCAGCAGTCTAAGCAGCATAACTAAGACATGTTTTTATGTCTTGGAAGTCATGCTTGTAATTTAAGTAACTGATTAGATTAATCATGTTTTATAGATAAATATAACTCATCAGCATAACAATGAAAGTGGACAGGTTGGCTTGATTGACTCAGTGCAGTGTGAATACAAACCGCACCAGCTGAAAATGTAAACAAATGCTATGAATGTTGATCCTCAATTGAACCGAGTCTACCGGACTATTAGGTGTGAAAACACCCTGAGAAACTCCATGACTAACTTTGTTATATGAAGAAGATTCATTATTTACATTTACCAACTGGATTCTTATCAAATAAATATGATTTAAATAATTTTAGAGCCGTTCCTGTAATCCCAATATCATATTCAAGCCTCTAGTGGAATATTTGTGATCAAATACAGCACTGAGGTTTAACAGGACCAGTACAGAAACAAGTCTGTTGTCTGAGGCCATCATTTTAGGGTTGAAATCTGTCAGTCTAGAAAAAAAAGTTAATTTGTACTCTTCAAAGGACTTTCTGTACTATATATATTTTTTTAAATATATCTGAAAACATTAAAATCGCATATAAGTAAACTACAGAAAAGTTGTTAAAACCGTCTCTTCCTTCAGAATGTCCTTGGCATTGATGGTGCAGGTTAAAGTCTTCTTACAATGTCAACGCTTCATTAGAGAACACTATACTGTGTACTATTACTAAGGTCATGTACACACAATACCACACTATACTGTGTACTTTTACTTATGTCATGTACTTAGTGAAAACCTTTGGAGAAGTGACCTGTATGCAGGATAAAGCTCTCAGGCGTGTGGTATTGGGGTGTGTGTGATATCTAGGTGTAGAAAAAATTTCACTCAAAATAATTTTTTCTGCTTTAATCCATTTTAAAGAGTCAATATGCCGTGACAAAAAGCTGTACAAGACAGCTAATCTTGCTTTTAAAAGATTAACCGTAAGTACCATATATTTATTTTAAAAAAGTTAATAAAAACATGCAAAACTAGATTATGCTTACAAACCAGAGGTTGCTTTCCTCTGTATCTCCAGCTTAATTAGTTGCACATTCATTTGATATTAAAACGTTGTATTCAGTGATATATTTTATTTCACAATTGTCCTGCTCAGTGCCAAGTTGGAATGGGATACAAGAGGAGTTTAACCCTCCATGATATTTAGTGTTACGTATGTGAAAAATCAACCACCTTACATAACCTTTTTTTAAATATATATTTTATTTTGTTTCCTCAATAAGCAAGTGTATTGTGAAATTCTTTATCAAAAGGGCTCGTGAAACGGTCGGCAC